AGTTTGAGTAGAAGTAGATTTAGGATATTAGGTGTTTATGGGCTCTTACTGGAAGGCAGAGGCTTGGATGCTAATCTGCCAGGGCAGTGCTCAAAGTAAACCTGCAAACAAGTTTTCCAATGCTTCCACTGTCAGTCACTGAAGTACCTGGTGTTTCTCTACTGCCATCCCTGAAGGCCCGGAAGTCAGTATCAGTACTGTTGCCTGCTCAAATGTTACTGAGGTTTAGGGAAAGCAAAAACAGCACAAAGTAGATAAGTGACGAGTTCACTTAGGGTTGAGTGGAAGGAGCGTCTAAATTGTAAGGGCAGGTAGGGCTTTACATTTCTGTGGAGGGCTTTTCATGCTAGAGTAAGGAGTTGAGATGTTCTCTTATGTGAATAGGAGGAGACCGAAAATTTTCTGTCATAATTTAGGAATGGAAGTGGTGGTAGCAGTGCAGTGTATTAGATAGTGTGGATTCAAGTGGTTGGGCTGTTACAAGAGCATGAATGAGAGAAATGAGAACCTAAAGTTAGGCTGTTGGCACAATAGAAAGGACAGAGACAGCTGATTGACCGTGTTTGATCTGTAAACGGGTTGTAATAGCCGTGTTTTGAACACTTCACAATTCTCAGTTGCTCTAAGCTGTGTTATGCAAATTGGTCACTAGGAGGCACAGTTCATCAACTTTAGGCGAAAAGGAAGGTAGCTAGAGGGACGCATCTGTGAAGAAAAATAGTTCTGTATTCAGTTGAAGTGTTGTTAACCTTTTCAACTCAGCATTTTGGAAATAAGAATCTTTATAAAATATTTTTACTGAATAGAACTTTTAAAAATGAAGAGATGAATGGCTAAGAAGTCTAAATTGCAGTCTGAACACAGACCTTTATGCACTAATGAAGGTGACCTGACTTGTATTTTCATGATTACTTGGCTTTTGACTATTTCTTTAAAGACATTTGAACTTTATCCACATCTTTAATAATGATATTTTTCATGAGTTTCTACTTTATATTGCAAATTAGGGAGTTTATAGATTAAAAGTTTTATAATCTTGTAGTCAAGTTGTAAATGAAAGTAAACACTTTATAACTTTCTAACTTCTGTTAAATGTCTTTAAGCCAGTATTAATGAACTTCTAAGCAGGTATCTGCCAACTAAGAAAATTCTATCAATTCAGTTCCATTACTGTGTTGTTTCTGTTTTTGATTACTCTTACTAGCAAGCAATAGGATGATGTATAAATGCCTCTCAATATTAAGCTGCATGCTGCTCAGGAAAAGGAAGGTTTGTAGGATGTATTTTAGATAGCATTTATAGACTATAGTAGCATTTAAAGTTCAGAGAGGCCTAGCACGTATAGTTGTTAATTCCATTTTTTAAAACTATCACCAGGGCTTCCCTGCTGGCACAGTGGTTGGGAATCCGCCTGCCAATGCAGGGGACGCAGGTTTGAGCCCTGGGCTGGGAAGACCCCACATGCCTCAGAGCAGCTGGGCCCGTGAGCCACAGCTGCTGAGCTTGCGCTCTGGAGCCTGCAAGCCACAACTACTGAGCCCCTAGTGCCACGGCTGCTGAAACCCGTGCTCCTAGAGCCCATGCTCGCAACAGGAGAAGCCACCTCAGTGGGAGGCCCGCGCACTGCAGCAACAGGGACCCAACGCAGCCAAAAATAAATAAACTTACTTAAAAAAAAAAAAAAAAAAAAATTTTACCAAATACATGTATTGGTATGGCAAGATTTAGAAGTCTTTTCATAAATTCTTGTTACAGTTTGAAAACTTTAAAAAGTAGGATGCATTATGAAAAATCTGTCAAGCCTTTGAAGACATTGATTTTCTTTTTATGACAGATGTGGGCTTTTGAGTCTTAAAATTTCTACATATGTTGAGCTCCTCCTGTGTGCCACGAAATGTATTAGGTGATCGGGACACATAAAAACAATGATTTTTGACCTCTCGGAAGAACTGACATTCTCTAGGAATGGGAACAGAAATAAGCAATAGGAATGATAAATTATTCAGTTATGTTAGGAGGTAATACATGCTATGGGAAAAATGAAGGGAAATGGGGTGGTTGCAGTTTTAGAGTGATTAGGAGAGCCCTCACTGAGATGACATTTGAGCAGAGACTTGAAGAAAGTGATTGGGATGTCTTAAATAGATTATAATATAGATGATAAGACAAGGGTAGAATCAGGGAGGCAAAGTTCGGAGGCCATGGCAGTATTTCAGGGGAGAGATTATCAGCGTGGTGATGAAGTGGAGAGAAATGGACAGAATATAGATATGGTTTGAAGGCATAACCGTTGGGATTTCTTGACTCAATTTGTGGATTGGGTACTGGAAAGCGAGTAAAGGATTTTTGCAAGGCAGGCATGCTTCTAAACATTTGCCGTCCTGGGGTAGGAGTGCAATGGAGACGCCAGTGATTAAATATTTTAAAGTTTTGTTCAATGAAGATACGTCCCGCACTACTATCCTGCCAAATACACCTTCACAAGTACCTGGAGGTCCAGGTTTGAAATTCAGATCCTTAAAACTCCCGTGCCAGAAGCTTCCTTGTGAGGAAGCTGATCCTCTGCCTGTGTCCCACTTTCCTTGTCTTCCCATTCCTGCCTCTGAATTGTATGGCAAGGGGCCTCCTGCACGTTTGTGTGGACATTCCTAGCCTGCATGTTCAAAATCTGTCCACCTACCTTACACACTAGTGCACACAATGGTCATGTAATACTCTGAAATAGCCGAGGTCATTTAGGCAGGGTATTTGGAGTGAGTACCTGCAGTATAGTCTAGAACAAGTATGAGTTCCAGATAGGCATGTAGTACTGGCTCTTCAAAGCACAGGGCTCCTTTTGTCTTGTTCTAAGGGCAGTACTGCTGCAAGGGTTTTGGCCTGAACAACTGTACAGATAGAGTTGCCATCACCTGAGAGGGGGATTGCAGGTAAGTAGAACAGGTCAGGGTGAGGAGATAAGTTTGGGAGTGCATATATTCTGGTTCTCTAATAGACACCCAAATAGTACTGTAGAGAAAGGGAAAAGGAAAAAATTCAATTTACAGTAACAGTGGCCTGGAATATATAAAAACTGAAGGGTATTTTTCATTACAGCCATTCTAACCAGCTAAGGCTCTTTAACCATGAACTTTGACTTCAGACCCTTACTGAACCAGTTCTACCCAGGCATTTGTTTTAACCAGTCATATATAAGCCTATGGACTCCATCCTATCCAGCATGCTATTTTTTATTCGCAAAAGCTCCATGAACCCTGCTTTCTATGATCGAAAAACCCCTCAGACTTTTCCCTCTAGCGAACTACTCAGTGCATGTCTTCACCAGTATGTGTTCCCTTGCCTGGGGGTGTAACTTTGGTAGTCTTTGTTTTATTCTTTGACAACAAGCAGCTGGATATAAATTTGGGAGTCTTGGGCATACAGATCTTATTGAAAATAATAAGACTGGATGAGATCAAGGGAGTGAGTGTAGATAAAAACCAAGGGCTGAGCTTTGGGGCACTCAAAAGATTGGAAAGAGGAGGAACCTGTAGAGGAGACACAATGACCAGGGAGGTGGAAGGAAAGCTAAGTGATGTCCTCGAAGCCAGTGAACTGTCCTAGAGCAGAAGATGGTCAACGCTCAGATGCTGCTGATAGACAACTTGATGCAGCTGGCCGTAATATACACTTTGAAGCCTTTTCAGACTTGTTTACCAAAGCAGTGACTTGTTAGCTAGCTTTCTAAACTTTAGTCATTTTTAAGTGACATTCATAGGTTTTCATTATCTACAACTGAAGTTGTGGGTTTTGGGGGGGGGGCAGTTATTTCCTGTAATTCATTTTCTGTGAATTTATTTGTCTTAAAAATGGTAATATGGCCATTTTTGTGAGTTGGTGGTGACTGGTGAAATTAAAAGCAAAGTTGTCATCTATCTACAAGATTCCTATATTATACTACTGAGATTTCCAATAATCAGTGGCACTATGGTTGGAGAAGGCAAACTGTGTACTTCTGAGCTGTTCACAAAGTCACTAAGTTGTGAAATACCCAACTGAAATTCTGAGTTTTAAAGTCTCTAATAACAAGTGCTTTTGAAAATCGTGCTGCTGGTTGTTCAGACATTGTGAAGTAGCTTAGGTAGAGTGCATTTGTTGCATCCTGATAAACTGCAGAAGGATAGAAACACTAAATGTTGCGTTTCTCAAGAAAATGGCTTGGGCTTCCAGAATGCATCTTAATGTTTTACCCAGTTTGGTTTGTATAGTATCAATTTTCCATATGAAATGTCTTTCCCAACTACACCTGCCCTCAGAGACTCTGAATTACACATTTAAAGGAAGTATCCTTTCTAAATGAGCTGAAGAATGGCATTCTGTTAAAAAGATGAACAGCTGGTCATGTGGAAATTCTCTGGAATGCTCACTTGTCCTGCAAAGGCAGGGGGAAAACTGAGATGTTAGGTGCAGTGTTTGTCATTCATTGGTATACAGAATTTTTTTAAAAAGTAACTTTTTAAAATGTAATCATGTAAAGAAATCTTTACATGACTTTGCCTTTCTCCTTAAAAGACTAATCCATCAACAATGTGAAGGCCGAGAGCCCACTAAGTGCAATTCAGTGGGTCTCAGGATTGTGCTGGAATTGTCCCATTTGCTGAAACATTGTTCCTTATATTAAGATTCAGGACCCTCCCGTGTTTAAAAGTTATCCTTTGTTCTCGATTACCTTGGGATAAACCTGGAATTTCTTAAGCGTGACACACAAAGAATTTGAATCTTGCTCCGCTCTCCAAGCTCATCTCTCACTTCTTCCCCTTTGAATTCTTTGTACCAGCCTGATGAAACTACAGATGAGCTAAGCTCTCCCTTCTTCCTTCTTGAGTTCAAGTAGCAGCCTTTCCTCTTACCTTGGCCAACTCTGACTTATCCACCCCTGGTTTATTTCTTCTTTGTGTTAATTCTTCGTATTTTCAGGGTCGGTACATAGTTGGGGTTCTCTGTTTACTTAATACATTTCCCCCAAGAGGTTTGGTCTCGGCTTAGGCTCTATATTCTGCCTTGTTTCCCAGAATTTCTATAGAAATTGTTTAAATGGAGTAGGAGGGAGCTAGGGGCGAGTACCGCATTACTTGCCCCAGGTTACAGATAAATGAGATTACAAGAGATCTGACCCGTTTGGCGTTTGCAAAGAGAGGGACCCGCGGAGGCTAGCCTGCCGTTTGGAAGGCTAAACTGCCTTAAAGTGTTGGGACCGGGCATTACCTGAATTTGTCGTTAGAGTTGAATTACTGTTGTGAGATATTGCGGGCTGTACGGATGGGTCAAGAAGGAAGCTAGAGCGCTCGTGTCACGGGTAAAGATAGGCAGTGCCTGCGCTCCTGGCTCGAGAAAAGGAAGGCGAGATGCCATCCGAAGTGGTCCCCTTCCTCTACCCCTTCCAAACGGGACAGACGGTAGCGCTGTTGCTTTAACAATCGCCCCTTCGGCTCCAAGAAGAGCTAGTTAGTGACCGTAAGCGAATGTGAGTGTAAAGACACCGTGTCCTCTCGGCCTTTGTGGACTAAGATGTTTACGTAGTGTCCGGGGGAGGCACGCTTCCACGGGACTCCGTGGCTCGCGAGCCTCACCCCCAGGCTCCTTGCTCGCCCCTTGCTCGCCCAGGCGGCGCGAATCCCCAGGGCTGGGTTCCCGAGGGCAGAGGGTCAGCTTGGCGTACCAGGCACTGTCTGGTAGCTGTACCCGTCCTCGCAGCCCCATCCTCATTTTCTGAGGCTGTTAGCAGAAAGCCCCACCGGGAGGAGAGGCGGGACGGCTGGGGATGGCCTCTTAGCGCCCTCTGCGCCTCGGCATTCTTCGCTGGCCATCTCGGGCGTCCTCGGCTGTGGCCCCCGGCGGAGGAGAGGAGTTTCCGGGGCTCGGGTCCCTGCAGCCATCCCGGGGAAGGAGCGCGGAAGCGAGTGGGTGGCAAGAGGCGGAGCAAGGGACGCGGGGGGCGTGGACGCGGCCGGCTTTGGAAAGCCCCCAAGTTAATGAGGCGTGCGCCGGCGGCGGAGTGCCTTTCGGAGCTGGGCTTTCCCCCGCGGCGCGGGCGCCAGGAGCCGCCTTTTCCGCTGGGTGTCACTCGGGGGTGGGGGGGATGGCCCATTCAAAAGCGCCGCGAGGGGGCCCGGCCAGAGCCCTTCAGTGAGCGCTCGCAAGAGGACGGCAGAGGCCCGGCGGCTCGCAGCTCCCGGACCTTGTGGCGCATCAGGACGCGGCTGCCCTGCTGCCCGGACCCCGAGGAACCGCCGCAGCCGCCGCCGCCGCCGCCGCCGCCGCCGCTCTGCTTCCTGCGCGTTAGCCTCTTCTGCGCGCTCCGGGCGGGCGGCCGCGGGAGCCGTTGGGGCGAGGACGGCGCGCGGCTGCTGCTGCCCCCCCGGGCCCGGGCGGCTGGAAGAGGAGAGGCCGAGCCGAGCGGCGGCCCCCCCCTATGCCGGGAGGATGTTGGAGAGCAGCGGCTGCAAGGCGCTGAAGGAGGGTGTGTTGGAGAAGCGCAGCGACGGGTTGCTGCAGCTCTGGAAGAAAAAGTGCTGTATCCTCACTGAGGAGGGGCTGCTGCTCATCCCGCCCAAACAGCTGCAACACCAGCAGCAGCAGCCCGGGCAGGGGCCGGTCGAGCCATCCCAACCCGGAGGCCCTGCTGTGGGCAGCCTCGAGCCGCCTGTCAAGCTGAAGGAATTGCACTTTTCCAACATGAAGACCGTGGACTGCGTGGAGCGCAAAGGCAAGTATATGTACTTCACTGTGGTGATGGCCGAGGGCAAGGAAATCGACTTTCGGTGCCCGCAGGACCAGGGCTGGAACGCGGAGATCACGCTTCAGATGGTGCAGTACAAGAATCGTCAGGCCATCCTGGCGGTCAAGTCCACGCGGCAGAAGCAGCAGCACCTGGTCCAGCAGCAGCCGCCGCAGCCGCAGCTTCAGCCCCAGTCCCACCCCCAAGCCCCGCCGCAGCCGCAGCCCCAACCCAAGCCCCAGCCTCAGCCGCAGCCGCAGCCCCAACCCAAGCCCCAGCCTCAGCCGCAGCCGCAGCCGCAGCCGCTCCATCCGTATCCGCATCCGCACTTGCGTTCGCACCCACATCCGCACCCGCACCCACTACCGCTCTCGCAGCCGCACGGCCACCGGCTTCGCCGTAGCACCTCCAACTCTGCCTGAAGAGGGCAGCACCCGAGCCAGACGAGGTAAGGTCCCGGCAGCTCGGCTCCCGAGGGAGGTTCCGAGGAGTGGGGCTGGGGGTGGTAGCAGTAGGAAGCCTTTTCCCCGGTTCGGATCTTGGGTGGAAAAATGAGAAATTAATGCAGGTTTCTGGGAGGCGGAAAGAAGGGAACAAGCTGGAGCCAGGAGAGGCGGGGCAGAGAGGGGAGGGTGCGGGGTTCGGGCCGCGCAGGAAGTTCTCCTGATCGCCCGTCCGCCCACGCTGACCCACGCATGTTCACTGGTGCGCTCCCCAGCGACGCCGCAGCTTCTCTCCTTGTCACCAGCACCACTTGAGTGTGTCTGGGGACTCGAGGGAGCGACCCCGGTGTCCTTAAGCTCGCTTTGTCCACGGGACAGGCCCGAAGAGAACTGGGGTCTTGTAGGAGTCCGAGCCACTTCAATCCGTGTCATTTCTTTCCAGGTTGTGAGGACTTGAGGAAGTGGGACAAGCACCTTTTTATTGTCTTCACTTGGATCGAAAACAAAACAGTCGCCCCGCCCGCACCAGACCAAGTAGTTTGGACAGAATACGACCGATAACTTGGCGATTCCTCTTAGTTTTTCTGCATACTCTTCATCACAATGCAGGAAATGATTTCGAGTCCAGAAGGCTTTATTTATGAACCTTTGAGAGGATCTTCCAGTATGGTGGACCTTTTAGGAGCGATGATGTACTGTAATGTTATTTTAATGTATTTTGATTTATGATTATTTATTAGTTTTTTTAAAATGCTTGTTCTGAGACATTTCTGAATGTAGGCCATTTTCCAAAAAAGAAACTTATTTTCAAAAATCTATTCCCTAGTAAGTTCTAATCTTGGGAAAGAAGAAAGTAAAAGGGCGGTGAAGGGGAACACATCAAGAATTCATTTTCAGAAGGTCTGATACTTAAATGTTATACCAGGTGGTTGAAATTAAACTGTGATACTACGTGGAGTTTTCTTTCTTTTTTTTTCTTTTGAGTTTTTCTTTTCCTTCGACATATATTTTGTGTAGAATGGAAGTTTAAAGAAGCTAAACGTTCAGAATTGTGTAATTATAAAAGTCGAATTGCTTTTTCTAAAAGGAAATCAGTAGTAATGATAGCTGATTCAAAGTATTTCAAACATAACCCAACTGATGGCAAGATGATCATATCCTGAATATACAAAGGAGGGCTGGGTCTGCTGTAGGAAAAGGCTTTCTTAGATTATCTATGTGTGAAGGGTTTAATAAGGAAGTTTTCTATGATTTCTGAGTATGAATGCATTAGGTGTTTCATTTCAAAAAACATAGTGGGGGAAAAGAATTATTCCACTTGTTTGAGAGAACATTTGTGCTCATAGCCACAATAGACATTACCCTTCTCCAAGAGCTTTGCACACTTGATGTGAACCACATTTTCTGGCCCTTTTACTTTGTTCTAGAATCATATTCTATCTAGAATCTCATAGTTTAAAATACAGTTTGTAAATATTTCAAAGGACTAGGAGTCATAGCTTTTTGTTTTCATTCTGAGAATAATGTTGATCAGAGACACCAGCTGTTTTGCTTTTTATTGCTCTGTGAGAAATCCAAGGGTTATATGTTTTGTTGTTAGGTTAGCTAAACTCAGAAATTGAAAAAGGAAGGACTGGGTAAACACTGGATTTGCAGTAAGAAAACAACCCCAGTCTTGTTTTAGCAGCGACTTGTTCAGGAGTCTGGGGGGTTGTTGGTGGGGCGGGGGGAGGTGGGGGAAGAGCATGTGCTTTTAAAGGTAGAACAAACCCTCTTCTGTGTTAAATGAAAAGGATGGTCAAAGTCCACAAGGGCAGATGCTACTTAAGTTTCAAAAGAGCCCATAGATGCTACCAAATCCTCTTACGGCTGAAAATCACTTCCTATCTGCCTAGCTTTACTAACGGGTCTCTGTTTTCCATCATCTTTTCTGCAAAGTCTTGATCAGTATTTTTCCAGCTTCCAAATTGGAATGGTCAGTATTGGGCCACTGCTAAGTTCTGTAGTCAAGAAATGAAAATAGAATTTCATGCTAGAGATATCTTTATTCTCCCTCCATCTGAAAAGGAGTTCCAAGGTCAAATTACTTCTCAGTGCAATATTTAAATGATGAAAATTTGAGATCATAACTCAAATCCAAAAAGTGGTGGGGGAAATAAAAGTCAACCAAATGGCAAGCAGAATTTAAGTGGACTCCCACTTGCAGAGGCTAAGTTGCAGTTGTGAAAAAATGTATATATGATGGGCATCTCAGAGAGCAGATCTCAAGAGTTCTTAAGTCAAGTTCGGTTTGATTTCTTTGGAACCACTGCTGTGCTTTTTAATAATGCCTCATTGTACTGTCATTTTAATACATGCAGATCATGTCACCCCAATTAAACCACAGCCTTTTTTTTCCAGATGGAAGGATTTTTCTTTCAAATTCTCATGCTATAAAAAAATTAAAATCCATACCAAATACTTTTAAAATTAAGATTCTTGTAGGCTTTTAAAGGCACTTGTATGTTGTTAGCTTACATACTGGCTAAGTAGCGTTGTCAAAAAAAAGTATGCCCAGGCTCCCTCGTGGCTGCTAGAATTTTTTTCTTTCTCACAATGGCTCTGGTTTGTAATGTGGCCACCGGAATCATGGTTCCTTGTATTATCTTTCCACAGCCCTTAGTCCTTGCTCTGCTGTGATATTTATACTGAGTTGACCCTCTTAGTGACTCTCTAGTCTGAACCCCTCTTAGCATTTACCTGTGAAACCTCAGAAATTAGAAAGGAGAGGAGTAGGATGGGATTTTGTTTTTATTTAACACTTATTATGGCTTAATAATTTTTCCAGCACAACAACAACAAAAAACGAGCATACTTAACAATACTCAGCAAAACAAAATACAAATGCAAATCATTTAATGTGTTGGTGGCTCTATTTTACCTGTAAGAAAATGATACAAACCACCTAGGGTATTCTGAGGCTTGACAAATCACCTTCATGGAGAAAGGTGATTCTTCTTTCAACCCAAGAAAGGGAAGAAGGAGAGGAGAGGTCCAGTAGAAAACCCACCCCTTAAATAAACATAAAATGTAAAAAGTTGGAAAATTAAAAGGAATGTCCCATCTGGAAACTGAACTTTTTGTCTTTGAACTTGTGTTGGCACCAAGCCTCTTACACAGTGAGTTCAATGACTATCTGTTGGGACAAATGAAAGAAGGAAAAAATGTCTTAACTCCCCAGCACCCAGGAGGGTGATTTCTCTGGCCTCACACAGTGCTTCCTTCTTTACTTGCTCTCATGCCATTCCCTGAGGACAGCTACCACTGGGACCGGCTATGCATCATGACGGAACTCCTTGGACATACTTTCTTAGTGGAGATCCACATGGATCTGCGTATGCCCTACGGGGAGTGCTGAGGTCAGAGAGCAAATGGCTATAAAGGGCCCTTTCAAAATGAACATTTCCCTCAGAGGAAGGGGGATTCTCTCATCATGTAGAAATCAAACCAACTTTATAACTTCATTTCACGTATTTTTTTCAATGGAGGTTAAAAAGAACGAAGCCCAGTTGTTGCTTAAAAGAGCTCCTCTTAACACGTTAGCACCGTTAGGAAGTCTGGCTTAAGCTGAGAGGCCAGTTTTAATGCTGTATTGCTCTCATATTCTAAACACTATTTCTCTTAAAGACTCTTCATTTAAGTCTGACACTATATGAGTTGTTGCCAGTGTGTGGGTTCAAACACATCACTTGTTTTCTGTCCCCAGGAAGAGTGATTTGATTTTAGTTTGGCTCCAAGTGTTTACAGTGTCATGTTCAGTGGCAGGTTTACAAGAGGGATCTAAGACTTGAATGAAACTGGAGCAATCTCTAGAAAATAGAGCTTTGTAGGATGACGATGGGCCTGTGAACATTCGTTTTCCTCTTTTTTTTGTAAATGTCAAACTAATTCGTTTTTGCTTTACCAGTAAAATGCCCTCAGTAGAATAAAATTTAAATTTGGGAATTACAGAGCTCGATGAATCCATCAGTGATTCTTTCAAGAGAAATACGCCTATTTACCTAAAACAACCTAAGATGTATTAATTGTGGAATTGGGTTGGATAGGTTTTTAAGAACTATTTTCTAAATTCTTGACACAGTTTAAAGGGTGAATTTTTTTTTTCCCCTTTTTTTTGCGGTACGCGGGCCTCTCACTGCCGCGGCCTCTCCCGTTGCGGAGCACAGGCTCCGGACGCGCAGGCCCAGCGGCCATGGCTCACGGGGCCGCAGCCGCAGCCCCAACCCAAGCCCCAGCCTCAGCCGCAGCCGCAGCCCCAACCCAAGCCCCAGCCTCAGCCGCAGCCGCAGCCGCAGCCGCTCCATCCGTATCCGCATCCGCACTTGCGTTCGCACCCACATCCGCACCCGCACCCACTACCGCTCTCGCAGCCGCACGGCCACCGGCTTCGCCGTAGCACCTCCAACTCTGCCTGAAGAGGGCAGCACCCGAGCCAGACGAGGTAAGGTCCCGGCAGCTCGGCTCCCGAGGGAGGTTCCGAGGAGTGGGGCTGGGGGTGGTAGCAGTAGGAAGCCTTTTCCCCGGTTCGGATCTTGGGTGGAAAAATGAGAAATTAATGCAGGTTTCTGGGAGGCGGAAAGAAGGGAACAAGCTGGAGCCAGGAGAGGCGGGGCAGAGAGGGGAGGGTGCGGGGTTCGGGCCGCGCAGGAAGTTCTCCTGATCGCCCGTCCGCCCACGCTGACCCACGCATGTTCACTGGTGCGCTCCCCAGCGACGCCGCAGCTTCTCTCCTTGTCACCAGCACCACTTGAGTGTGTCTGGGGACTCGAGGGAGCGACCCCGGTGTCCTTAAGCTCGCTTTGTCCACGGGACAGGCCCGAAGAGAACTGGGGTCTTGTAGGAGTCCGAGCCACTTCAATCCGTGTCATTTCTTTCCAGGTTGTGAGGACTTGAGGAAGTGGGACAAGCACCTTTTTATTGTCTTCACTTGGATCGAAAACAAAACAGTCGCCCCGCCCGCACCAGACCAAGTAGTTTGGACAGAATACGACCGATAACTTGGCGATTCCTCTTAGTTTTTCTGCATACTCTTCATCACAATGCAGGAAATGATTTCGAGTCCAGAAGGCTTTATTTATGAACCTTTGAGAGGATCTTCCAGTATGGTGGACCTTTTAGGAGCGATGATGTACTGTAATGTTATTTTAATGTATTTTGATTTATGATTATTTATTAGTTTTTTTAAAATGCTTGTTCTGAGACATTTCTGAATGTAGGCCATTTTCCAAAAAAGAAACTTATTTTCAAAAATCTATTCCCTAGTAAGTTCTAATCTTGGGAAAGAAGAAAGTAAAAGGGCGGTGAAGGGGAACACATCAAGAATTCATTTTCAGAAGGTCTGATACTTAAATGTTATACCAGGTGGTTGAAATTAAACTGTGATACTACGTGGAGTTTTCTTTCTTTTTTTTTCTTTTGAGTTTTTCTTTTCCTTCGACATATATTTTGTGTAGAATGGAAGTTTAAAGAAGCTAAACGTTCAGAATTGTGTAATTATAAAAGTCGAATTGCTTTTTCTAAAAGGAAATCAGTAGTAATGATAGCTGATTCAAAGTATTTCAAACATAACCCAACTGATGGCAAGATGATCATATCCTGAATATACAAAGGAGGGCTGGGTCTGCTGTAGGAAAAGGCTTTCTTAGATTATCTATGTGTGAAGGGTTTAATAAGGAAGTTTTCTATGATTTCTGAGTATGAATGCATTAGGTGTTTCATTTCAAAAAACATAGTGGGGGAAAAGAATTATTCCACTTGTTTGAGAGAACATTTGTGCTCATAGCCACAATAGACATTACCCTTCTCCAAGAGCTTTGCACACTTGATGTGAACCACATTTTCTGGCCCTTTTACTTTGTTCTAGAATCATATTCTATCTAGAATCTCATAGTTTAAAATACAGTTTGTAAATATTTC